CATGTGCCAGGCACTGTCCTAAGCACCACAGACACTGACACATTTAATCCTCATGACAACCCAAGCGGTGGTTTCCTGCACGGGAGCTTCCGAACCCACCAGCTGGTTACACTCAACACCACCACCCAGGGTGAGGAAAAAACCCACAGACCTGAGAGGGAGAGAAAAAGTCGGGAAATCTTACCTTGGGGGATCCCAACTGAGAAAAAAGAAAAGGACAATGTGCTCCTGAAGGCCCAGAGAAGGAGCTCGGGTCGGTAATCTGACAAGAATAATGGGACGAGGGCTTCCCTGGGGGCGCAGTGGTTGGGAGTCCGCCTGCCGATGCAGGGGACACGGGTTCGTGCCCCGGGCTGGAAAGATCCCACATGCCGGGGAGCGGCTGGGCCCATGAGCCATGGATGCTGAGCCTGCACGTCCAGAGCCTGTGCTCCGCAACAGGAGAGGCCACAACAGTGAAAGGCCCGCGTACCACAGAAAAAAATAAAATAAAATCCTGAACAAAATACTGGCAAACAGAATCCAACAGCACATTAAAAGGATCATACACCATGATCAAGTGGGGTTTATCCAAGAAAAAAAAAAAAGAATAATGGAACGGAGTGACTGGCAGAGTAGCAGGTGGTAGAATAAGCCAGGGGCTGACCTGCCTCTGCATTTCAAAGGCAGTTCACTGCTGTTTTGACCCTTTCAGTGAGAAATGATCATTTCATCACAAAACAGAGAAAATTCGCTGTACTTTTTTATCAGCTTAGAGCAAGATTAATGACAATTTAGCTTCCAAGTTCCATAATTAATAAGCATCCCCTTTTTATAACTCATAAAGCCCCTCAGAGCTGAACCTCCTGCAAGACAAATGTGAGGTACACATGACCTCCAGGCAGTGCGAGAGGGGGTCGGTGCGATCCTGTCAGCTGGAGTAACAGTAGTAGCAGTAGTTAACAGCACAAACAGTAGCGGTAATAGGATTAGCAGTAGCAGCTGCTGCTATTTTCTGTGTATCTATAATGTGCCAGCCACTGTCATAAGACTGATAGATACGAAGAGCCTCATTTGATTTCACAAAAAAAGATGAAGTGGGTTATACCTGTATCTCCCTTTAAGGAAACTGAGTCTTTAGGACGTTGAGCCACCTGACCAAGGTCCCAGAGCTTGAGTGGTAACCAGGGAATTGCAACCAAGCCAGCTGATCTCAGAGATTATCTTCTTAACAGCTAGACTATCTGATGCTGGACGGTTTGAAGCTTTCAGTTGTTTACTTGAAGTCTTTTCTTCATAATGTCCCTAGCCTGTGGGATAAAGGCCACTCTCTAGAGGAAGGACAAGATACGCATACATAAGGCACTAACTTAGATGACTCAAGAACAAAAGTCAGCACCAATAATGATAAGAGCCTCCAAAGCAGGGAGGGGAAAGAGAGGTGAATCAAGAATTGGCCAAAGACTGATGAGGACCAAAGCCAGGTGATGGGCACCAGCGGATTCTTCCTACTCTTCTCTACCTTGGGCTACGTTTGATAACTTCCATAAGAAAAGGTTTAAAAACGGCTCTGACTTATTGCGAGTTCATTAAGTTTGCTGAGTCATTTCTTTTCATTTGTTTTGCTAGGTCATATTTCCACATGGTTCAAAATTCAAAACGTTATAAAAGGTCTGTACTCAGCAGTCCACCCCTGCTCCCACTGCCATTATCCTTCTAACGTTTCTTCACATAAATATATATATTCTTATTTCTCCCCATTTCTTTCACAAAAGGTGGCATATTATATACATTGTATTTCACCTTGCTGTGTTCACTTAACCACGTAGCCTGGTGATTTTTTTTCATGTCAGTGTACAGAGAACTTTTCATTCTCCATTGGTAGGTCTTCCATACTGAAGATACACCATATACCATATTTAACTGGGACACCTCCGTTGTTCCCAATCTCTCGCTATCATGATAAATAAGCTTAGACTGTCTTTTCCTGTCTATTGCCACTTTGGGGGCCACACTAAGCATTTCTCACATTCATTTACTTGATGCAACAACAGTAAGCAAGGGTGGATCCCTGCTTCATGGGACATAAGACTTATACAATTTGGAAGATCCTCTGTAAAACAGAGAATACAAAATCATGAGTAAAAAATTAGGTATAAATGTGTGTATTTCTTTAAAATTAAAAATTCAGGGACTTCTCTGGTGGTCCAGTGGGTAAGACTCCGCACTTCCACTGCAGGGGGGCGAGGGTTTGATCCCTGGTCAGGGAACTGAGATCCCGCATGCCATGCAGCACGGCCAAAAATTTCTTTTTTAATTTTAAAAAGGGACTTCCCTGGTGGTCCAGTGGGTAAGACTCCGCATTCCCAATGCAGGGGGCCCGGGTTCCATCCCTGGTTGGGACACTAGATCCCACACTCATGCCACAACTAAGAAGTCCACATGCCACAGCTAAAGATCCCACATGCTGCAACTAAGACCCAGCGTAGCCTAAATAAATAAATATATATATATATATTTTTTTAAATTTAAAAAATTGATCACCAATTCACTGGAGTGTTTTTTTTTAAATAAATTTATTTTATTTATTTATTTTTGGCTGCTTTGGTTCTTCGTTGCTGTGCGCGGCTTTCTCTAGTTGCGGTGAGCAGGGGCTACTCTTTGGTGCAGTATGCGGGCTTCTCATTGCGGTGGCTTCTATTGTTGCAGAGCACGGGCTGTAGGCACACGGGCTTCAGAAGTTGTGGCTCGCGGGCTCTAGAGCATAGGCTCAGTAGTTGTGGCACACGGGCTTAGTTGCTCTGCGGCATGCGGGATCTTCCCGGGCCGGGGTTTGAACCCGTGTCCCCTGCATTGGCAGGCGGATTCTTAACCACTGCGCCACCAGGGAAGCCTTTCACTGGAGTTTTAAAGATTAAGGTCCTTTCTTCCAGGATCTTTTTAGAAAATTTAATAAAAATGCCTGTATAGAAATACCTCCCGACTGCAAACTGGCATCTCCTCTCTACCTAGAACACTCTGTAACTCCCAAAAACACATTGCACTTACAGGGGTCTGAATCCTATGATTCAACAGCTGCACAGGAAATCCACGTCTTCCTGAATGATAGGCATTAGCATCACCATCTCACAGATGGGTAAACTGAGGCTTAGAGATGCAATAACTTGCCCCATGTTGCACAGTGGGTAGTAAATTGGGCCTGTTTGATTCCAAAGCCTTTGTGCTTAACTGACACAACAAGTGCCTCCCCAGCGGTCTTGAACTTGACTAAATTTATCTTTTCAAAGGGGAGGACTAATACAAGATAACACTTCCATTATTAGTTCCCTAGGGAAGAAACATTTGATCTGAAACGAATTCTCAGTTTCCCGTTTATATTTTCAAGACACCTTGTCTTGTCTCTTCTTTTATTTTTTACTCAGTAAGGGTCCCCGTAAGTGTACCTAACTAAATACAGAGCCTAAGGTCAGCATCATGCTCACCATACAGGCCAGGGCATCATCACCTGACTGGTCCTCTGGTACCGAGAGAGGGGGAAACAATGAAACAAAGAGATGACTCAAGGCTCATCCTTTGTGTTGAGGGTCGGTTTGTTTTCTGCTGAACTCTCACATTTCTAATAATAACCCCAGATCCTCAGATTTGTCTAGAAACAAGAGTGGGACGAAGAAATGCCATCAACTTTGTTCTAATAACTAGACGTGTAAAGACCCTAAACCTATGCTAGAAGGTAGGACTCTTCCACTCCAACTCAAATAGAAGCAGATTAGGCTGATTCAGCATCTTCAACATTTCGTCAACAACACAAGCTAGATGGATGATCTTCACACCAAGGATGTTGGTAGGACGTGCTGCTGCTGCTATTTAATGCCCGGAAGCCAGAAGGCTGAACACCCTGCGATGACAGGGACAGTCCAGTACAGAGAAGGACTGTTCAGCCAAAAATGCCCAAAGCAATGATGGCTGAGAGGATGCTGAGACAGACCTTCCCAGACCAGGCGTAAAACAAGAGTTGATATGAACGTGGCTACATTGTAAACCAGGCCTTTCAGGCTATTCTAGGAGCATTAACAAAATGAGAGGTTCTGCACATAGAAGGCTCCTGCCTGATGCTCTCACTCATTTGACCTTTACTGCCTTGCCATGCCTATCAACTGTCAAGAATCGCCATGAAGGGTCAAATTTAAGAGCAAAATAAGCCCTAGATTTTAAGACTTCACAATTCTTTCAGCTACCTCTTGAGAAATAAAAGGTTTAAAATTAATGTGTACAATGGTTTTAAACTTTCAAACTCATCCAAAAACTCTCAAACTGCTTCTTACAGTTATATAAATATCACCACTATTCAATCTGGAAGGTAGAAAATATAAAAAAATTAAAAGTAAAATTGTTCTTTATTAAAAGGCCACATTTGAAAATAGCAGGAAAACATGTTATACCTCAGACCGAAACATTCTATGATAGGCCAGCCCAGATACAGTGGTACATACAATGGAATACTACTCAGCCATTAAAAAGAATGAAATTTTGCCATTTGCAACAACATGGATGGGCTTGGAGGGTAGTATGCTAAGTGAAATAAGTCAGACAGAAACAGACAAATACTGTATGATATCACTTATATGTGGAATCTAAAAAATACAACAAACTAGTGAATATAACTAAAAAGAAGCAGTCTCACAGATATAGAGACCAAACTCGTGGTCACCAAGGGGAAGAGGGAAAGGTGGAGGGACTGTATAAGGGGTACAAACTACTATGTATAAAATAAGCTACAAGGAAGGATACACTGTACAACACAGGGAATATATCCAATATTTTATAATAACTATAACCTTTAAAAATTGTGAATCACTACACTATACACCTGTAACTTACATAATATTGTACATCGACTATACTTCAATTTAAAAACACAGATTACATGCAATTTGTTCATTTCTTAGGAACAAGTCTACATTCTTTGAAGCCCTAACACTTCTGTAAACAGGTAAAGAATGTTTTATCTTTGTCAGCTTTACCTGCTATTTGTACTGAGCCATCCTCACCCAGAAGAATATTACCAGCTTTTAAATCCCTATTAGAAAAAAAAAAAAAAAAAAAGGAGAGAATTTAATTATGGAGTACAGACATTATATTCACTCAGGGAGATTTTAATACATATCATACAATGGAGATGTTTGACAAAATTATTATTTTATAAATATTAAAATTATATCACAGATTTTAAAAGTTACAAAGGTACATTGTGATTTTATAGTTTGCTCCTGGGGGATGATTAGGATTTTAGTAACAAATAGTTTATGTGATACCATTATCCAGATTTAATTAAAACAACAATGAGTAGATTATTTCATGTTACCGAGTTACAGATTGCCATATACACACAATACTATCATTTTATCAAGAATTAAAGCCCAGTCTATGTAAAGCTGTTCTACTTCCACTTAAATGTGTCTGTGATGCAATTTCCAATCAATCCCCTCAGCCTCTACAACAGTGGATTTGATCAGTCTCTCCTCTGGGGAGATACTGATGGTAAATACTAATTAACAATACTCTGTAATGTATTTCTTCACTATATAGAGGTTGTGCTGAATAGTCTTCACACTTAAGAAAAATGACAATTTATAAGTTTGCCTTCTAAAGTAATATTTTTTCTAATTATTGAAAGACATAGTAGATACCATTAAACATACAGCTCACTTATAGCTCAGGGCAAGGGAATTGCAATATTCATATTAGTGGTAAGTGGTTATTTACTTGCAACAATTCCTAAGAGCCCAAGGAGCACTAACCCATTTGAAGCATCAGGCACTCATATGCGATGCTGTTTAGCTATTTAAAGAATTAGCATTTTATGCCACAAAAGAGATGAAATTAGTGCTTCCCCTCCTTCTCTTCCACCACCATGTCAAAAATAATTAACGTAGTAAATGTTTGGAACACTCTCGCCTGTATTAGAAAGTTAGAGATGCTATCCAGTTCAAATGAGTATACTTCAAATGAGCATAAAATGTAAACTGATTTTTTTGAGTCCCCACAGTACTTTCTGTAGTCTACTCTTATTTCAGTGAAAGCAGATAAACCAATATACCAATATAATTCATCAAAACTTGTTCTCTTGTTTCGTTCTTAAGTACTTTTTTCCCATCTATTTAAACTACCTAAGTTAGAGACATGTCAATACCTACCTGTGAGGTGTGTTTCCTTAGTATTCCTTACTAACTAGGACTGAAGATGTGAACAGCTGAATTTAAACATCGCTGCAGGGGTCATACCTGTGAATCTGACCATTTCTGTGTAGATAGTCTAAGCCTTCCAAAACCTCTTTAAGAATTGTTGCTATTATTGCCTCTTCCAGAACTCCGTTCTTGTGTTCTCCTCGGTTAATGATGTATTTTATGATATCCAACATTGAACCTAAGTGGACAGACAGAAGAATTGGACAACTGTATAAGCACCTTCATTACCTTTCCAGAATAGTCCTCCCTATTTAAAAAACTAAACGAGGGACTTCCCTGGTGGTCCAGCGGTAAAGAATCCGCCTTACAATGCAGGGGACGCAGGTTCAATCCCTGGTCAGGGAACTGAGATCCCACATGCCGCAGGGCAACGAAGCCCGAGAGCCACAACTACTGAGCTCACGTGCCTCAACGAGAGAGCCCGCGTGCCGCAAACTACAGAGCCCACGCGCCCTGGAGCCTGTGCACCACAACTAGAAAAGAAAGCCCACACGCCACAACTAGAGAGAAGCCACAACGAAGACCCCGCATGCCTCAACGAAGATCCCGTGTGCCGCAGCTAAGACCCGATGCAGCCACAAATAAATTAAATAAATAAATAAATAAATAATACATTTTTCAAAAAATCCTTAGAAAAATAAAAAGCTAAATGAGAACAACAAAATACAGTTTTCATTTGTTTATTTAACACAAATATTCCCAAGGCATACAAACAATTGCATGGTAGCCCGTGACCAGAAAAACAGTAAATCCAAGTCTGCAAGCACACATCGCGCTGAACTTAATGAGAGGGATTCTGGGTCAGCAAGCAGAAGACTGTCCATGGCCACTTCACAGTTAGTCCCTTTTCCGTAGACGTGCAACTGGTTACAGATTAAAAGAGGGTTTGGGATGTCTAAACTGAAAAAGAAAGGAACAAGAGGCCTGGCGAAAAGACAGCAGGGAACTGCTGAGAGAAAGAAGCACAGTTTTTCCTTAACCTCAGGTAGGAGGAGAGAAAAAATGCCTGTTGCCTTTACACCCCTGCTTATAACCAGAAGATTCCTTTCTGTGACTCCAGGCAATCTTCATTTACATTTACCTGAGGCGTGATGTACAGAGTTTAATAATAAAGAAAGAAATACATAGCATTTTGTTACTATAAACAGATTGGTATCCTTGGCACTGTGAATTCATGCTTCAACACATGTTAATTAATATTCCAAACTTCCCGGTCACCTTAAGAGCCATAATTACCTGGGGGCTCAACACTTCTGAAGAGTTACCAAATAGCCTATTTCAGGACCTGAATATGGCTCCAGGCTCTCCCTGATTTAACTAAGAGGACTGAGTTTCCCCATCAGATATTACTACACCAGGCTAGCCACCTGCCACTCAGTAAGAGATCTGATGTAATAAAATAATATAGAAGAAAACAAATGCATATCTTTCCCCTCAGGGAGAAACAAACATCTCTTTATTCATTGACTCTTGGATTTGGGGATCATTTAGAAAACGATACTTCCAAAAACATTTTAATTTTTTCTTTTAAGGATATACCATACCAGGCATGCATGCATTTCTGGCCTGCTAAAAAAAACAAAATGAGCAAAAGGCTACATCTGCGCACATTCCCCTTACCTGTGGAAACCTGTTCCTCTTACCTAGGGCCAGGGGAGACTAAATCGTATTCTTTTAAAAAGACAATGAAATTTTCTATCCAGTCCTTAGGAAAGGGCACAGAGGATATTCTCAAGCTTATAAAAGGTTAATTGGGATAAAAATAAAGAGAGGAATTAAAATCCACAGGGCCCCAGGTCACCAGAATTTCTTGTTTCCTCAGTTAATGGACCCCCTACAAGGAGAGGCCAGGTTAAGATCATCTTATCAATACAGCACTATCCTCAGCAGAACCAAGAAGCAGTCCTGACACTCAACACTGCAGTAGGCTCCAACGGGCTTCCTTTTTCCTTCCATTTTTCTTTTCCTTTTTAATTAAAAGCCAGAGTCAGCACTCAAGGAAACAATAACTAATAGGATTGACAAGACTGGAAACAGAACCAAACTAAGCTCTCCCACGCACCCTACCGAAACCTACACAAGCAGACCCAAGGCAATTACAATGCCTTCGTCATCTCATTGCAGGGCCTCTGCTGGATCCAAGACAGTTTCTCTAAAAAAAAAAAAATTTTAATTGTGATGCTGCTTTGATTTAGCCTTAGCTGAACTGGGTCTGCAGATAAAAATGGGCTCCACCAAATAAACCCTGCACTGTCAGTTCTGGCTTCGTCCAGGTACCACCAAATGTTTTCCTCTACTCCTAATCATACTTCACGTCTCAGTAAGATGGATACACAGGGAGGGACGCCCTGCAAAGAGAACACATGAGAGGTATGGGGATGCTGGGTATTAGGAAGGAATCCCTCGGGCTTTCTCAGCTCCAGTTTTCGGGTCTGTAAAATGAAGGTGATGATACTTGCAGCGCAGGGTAGCTTTTACGTGTACAGATCCCAGCACTAACAGGCACGACGTGTGTGGCCTTGGGCAAGCAGCCTAACTCTCTTGAGCTCTGGTGTCCTTTCAGAAACACAGGGATCATGGCACCTGCCATGCAATGGTGTTGTCCAGATTACAATGAAATAAAGTCAGTAAATCACCTGGCACAGGATCCAGCCACGGAGGAAGTGTTCTCAAGAAAATTAACCGTTATCATTATCCTCCCCTATCAAAGCATGACGCTGGAAGATTAAAAGAGATAAAATACAGGAATGGGAAAGTGTCTTATAAATTTAATTGTCCATGGGTTTTTTAACTTCAGTGATCTGAGGCTAGAGAGGCAAAGTTCCTTCACCTTCTCACATGCTTTCTTCATGAAATCCACAATCTAAAACTACACTGTCCAATATCATAGGCCACTGGCCACCTGAGGTTATTTAAATGTAAGCTAATTAAAATTGAATAGAAATTCAGTCCCTGGGTAACACTAGCCACATGTCAAATGTTTAAGAGCCACTAGCAGAAACTGGATAGCACAGTCACAGAACATTTCCATCACCACAGATCTTTAGTAAACCGCACTGAAATAACTCATTATATTACAGTGTGTTAGAGACTTGAATAATGTTAAGAATGAAGGCTTTAAAGAGGAAGGATTGGTTAACTTTTCTGAAGAGAGTAAGGGGTGGCTACAGAGAGGATGGGGCCTTTCAGGGCCTGGGCACATGGAGAAGGGATAGACAGACATCTGGGGCTAAGTAACAACACAGAGACATCAGAGGGTAGAAGGCATGTGGGGAGTCTCACCCACACCTAGAAGGCCGGGGTAAAAGAGGACACAGATATTCTACAAGTCAAGCTGAATTATGAAAGGCTTTGAATATCAATGTGAAGAAATCCGGACTTTACTCTCTAGGCAAAGAATAAGCCAAGAAAACTTATAAATACGGGAGTGAGGGGATCAAATCTAAAGTCTTATTCAATATGCTGACTCGCACAAAAGGAAAAAAAGAAAACAAGCAAACAAACAAAAATGACAAAATCCACTTACCTCCACTTAGTAATTTCATGACCAGCCAAAGTTCATCTTTTACCACAAAAGAGGTGTAATAGGTCACTACGTTGGGATGGCTGCACTGACTCATGGCTTGAATTTCTTTCTATAAAAAAAGCAAAACATGACATGTACCATGGGGCAAAAATCGGGAAGCAAGACACAAGTGAACCATATTTGAATATCTGGGTAACTTTCCTACTTAAAGCACACCTGGGCAAGGGGCTGCCTAAACCATTACTTCACAGAAACCACAAGAGAACTAACTCTCTCACCCTCGTTATCAACTTGCTAGAATTAGGAAGGCCTCTACAGGAGACCCCAGAGCCCTGAGGACCAGCCACAGGACAGAGGAACTTCAGATCAGCACACAGCTCCATAACCTCCCCCCCCAGCGGCCATATGTGATAAGTGCCTCCTACCTGAACCCAAAGCCTCGACAGAGAGATAAAAGACTGCTGAGCTATTAGGAGACCTGGGTCCTGGTGCCAACCTGAACCCTGGTGCTCCTCACTCATCCAAAAAGGGGCAACAAAACTGCTTGTTTCTCAGGACTGCTGTGATGGTACATGAAAAACTACTTATAAAAATGCTAGAGTATCATTTCCAAAACTATCTTCCATGGTAGGTATTCCATCAAGGAAAAAGGCAAGGTGGGGGTGGGAAGGGCAGCTGGTAAAACGCAATAAGCTTGGGCAACATCAGATACTACATCTCAGTTTACAGTCGTCACGTCACAGGGTATGTTAGTACTGTCAAAGGCTCTGAGAAATCCTGCAGTAGATAAACTGTCATAGTTGAATCCACAGGAACAATGCAGGAAAATAATGCTCTGTGGGTCACAGTTTAGAAAAAAGTTTTATCAAAAGACAAAACAACAAAGCTTTGAAACCAAACAAATGGACAACTTCAATAAGCCACAGTTTTCTGCAATACTCAAGTTCATGTTGGTTTTGGTTTGCTGTTTTAAGTTACCGCCAGATGACTCCTATAAAATGTCAGTTGAGGGCTTCCCTGGTGGCGCAAGTGGTTGAGAGTCCACCTGCCAATGCAGGGGACACGGGTTTATGCCCCGGTCCGGGAAGATCCCACATGCCACAGAGCGGCTGGGCCCATAAGCCACGGCCACTGAGCCTGCGCGTCCAGAGCCTGTGCTCCGCAACGGGAGAGGCCACAACAGTGACAGGCCCGCGTACCCAAAAAAAAAAAAAGGCAGTTGAATGCTAACCCTCAATCAAAGGTACCAGACCAGTGTAACTCACTTTCTAGGTGCTGACCAAAAGCCACAAGAATAACTAACCTAAGTCATGACAGAAACCTCACTTATGTTATTATGTATTTATGATGAAATAAAAGTATATCTGTGCATCCTGTAAATATTTTCAATAATGAGTGTCTACTTTGCGTTAACTTAAAGTTGCCAACCAGAATATTCCAATTTGAGCTGCTATCTTTATATATCCAGTACTACTTTAATCCTTAAATTACTAAGGTGACCCTACATGTCAATTAACTTGGTCTAAATACCATGACATATAAGACATATACACATCTTAATACATGCATTTATTTAGGTGCTTTTATCATGGATAAACTTGTAAGAAAATCACTAATTTTTCTACTTTCCTTTCATTATATGACAACACTTCCCCTTCATCATTTTCCTCATCCACTCCACTGATCACAGGTTTTCTAAATCTAACACTTTTCAATTCAGCACCTCCTGTCCTTTGAAGAAGATCTGAAACCTGAGGTCCAGTTTCCATCTGTTTCTGGTGTTGGGTTTTGATACCATAAGACGCTTCTGAAGGAGAAATGGAACGCTGACCAGCATTCCTATTTCAAGTGGCTAGCATCTGCTCGATGTGGGGATGGCCCACTTTGAAGGCCTGCAGCTCTATGTAGGGTCCAGTTTAAACAGATGCCCCCGTTATTCACAGAAATGAGAATAATGTGTCTTCAAAGTGTGTGTGCTCTGCATTTTCACCATTTTATATCCGATGTAAATGAATGCCTTTCTAGCTCTCTAACACGAAACTTTTAAATCATTAAAGCATACAATCAACAACCGGTGCTCATATGAAAGGAAATTCTTTTGCATGGAAGCAAAGCCAGGTCAGAGTCTGGAAAAACACGTTTTTTTTTAGACCTTTGCATTTAGATGGCCAGTATCACTTCCTACCCAGAGGATCAGATTCTCTGAGATGATGGCAGTGAGCTACTCTGTGTGTGTGTATGTGTGTGTGTGTGAGTGTGTGTGTGTGTGAGAGAGAGAGAGAGAGAGAGAGAGAGGGAGAGAGAGAGAGAGAGAGAG